GCAACTTTGCCTCTGATCTGCTGTTCCTGAGCTGGTTCGGCTCCACCTCAACTCTGCCCTCTTTGCTGCCTGGCACCTTGTCCCCCTGCCCTATGTGAGCTCAGGATGCTGCTCAGAACCTATCAAGTCCCTGCAGACTGGGGCAGCCTTCACTTAGTTTCACCACAGTCTCTCTCCTTCCATCCTACTGAGAACAAGGGTGGGATCTATGTCTTTGTGAGAATTTTCCTGGTTCTTCTCTCCCCTTCCTTCCATTACTGATCTCCTCCAAGTGCCATGCTCAACTTAGAGGAGTCTGTGAAGCCATCTTTGCCCATCAAGGCTCCTGACACATGTTTTGATCATTGTCATAAAACGCGCCAGACCATGTTCTGAAAGATAAATGATGAACTAAGAATTGTACGTGGTCTCGCTTGGAGGAGTTTCAACCAAAGATGAAATTCTGTGGGTCAGAACTATGCTGGCAATGTAGCAGACTTCTTCCAGTGCATTGCAAAGAAATGAGCTAATAACTAGTAGTGGTTCTCTAGAGACTTTACCCTCGTTTCAGGAAATAAATATTTTGAAATTGAATTTGTAGCCATGATTTCCATTTTCAAGTATAGCATCAAAATTCCTTTAGGTTTAAAAAATATTTTTTCAAATATTTATATCACCTCTGCAAGATAAACTATACAGAGATTTTACCTACCCAAATTAAAGAAGATGACAACTCTATTTGCCTGAGAAGCTTTCTAAGATGAAGAAGGGAGTTCCTATGGACAGCAAATAGATGGTTTGTGATAAAGAGAAAAACTACTTGAGAACATGGAGTTCATTACCAGTATAGATGCTCCAACCTCTGACTTTATTTAAGGAAATGGATGGAGCACTGCCCTCCTGGGGCTGCTTAGGCTTGGGCAATGCTTGCCAGACTTCTGATGTTTTAACAGCCCAGCATCAGTCTCCCAGATCCCCTGCCATCAGCCCCACCCTGCTAAATTAATAGATCATGTTTTTACCATGTTTTTCTATTTATCATATCATGCTAAGTCTCATACAAAAATCTTCCTTTGACTGTTGAGGAAACTGGTAACCAGGGAGGCTAAAGTCCTTGTTCTGCAGTTCACTGGTGTCAGAAACTGCTAAAACCAGGTGTCCCACATTTTATACTGTGTGTGCGCGTGTGCATGCACTTAGTCGTGTCCGACACTTTGCGGCCCTGTGGACTGCAGGCCGCCAGGCTCCTCTGTCCATGGAATTTTCCAAGCAAGAATACTGGGGTGGGTTGTCATCTCCTACTTCAGGGTATCTTCCCAACCCAGGGATTGAACCTGCATCGCCTACACTGGCAGGTGGGCTCTTTACTGCTAGCACCACCTGGGAAGTCCGACATCTATACTAAGTGGTGTAAAAAGAATATAAGATGCAAAAGGCATTTAAAAGATATTTGATGAAGGAAGAATATTTTGAGAATTTAAGAAGAGTTCTTTTAGAATTTGAAGTTATTTTAGGATGCTCAAGCATGAGTATCATGCCCGTTATTTTCCTACAAACCTCAATCAACTGAGCATTTACCACATTACACTGTGAATGCAATGGGAAAGCAAGTCCCTCCCAGGACTCGCTCTCACTTCTTAGCATCCTCTCTCCTTTTGCCCTGTGGTCTCTCTCTCTTACACACACACACACACCACCCACCCCTGAACTCTGCTCTCAGCCCCCACCAAGTACAGAACTTGGTAGATTCTCAGCAAATATTGCTGATACAACTAGAGAGGAGGGTGTTTCCTGCAGGCATCTTTACATCCTCTGAAAGTCTGTCTTCCTTGAATTTGTTTATGAAGCTCAAGCAAATGAGAGTCACTTACAAACTTATTCTGAGATCTCCACAGAGTTATAGAAATAATCTGATGCTCTGAAGAAGTCTTGTATATTAAAAACCAAAGGCCTAATTATGTTAATCAAAGTTTCTTAAATTTTAGTTTCCCTGTCTGTTGAATGGGGTACATGATGCTGTACAGAAAAGCATTTGAAAAGCATGAAGGGCTTTGCAAAAAATAAAAATAAAATAATAAAATCATCAGTGAATCTAGTAAAATGTTATAAAGACTTCCAAGTGCTTCAGTAAAATGTTTGATATCAATAAATGATACCTCAGCTGAACAAATCCTATGGGATGCTCACTTAGCCATGGATGCAGAACAATTGAAGGAAGAAAGGTCACAAAAATGGTTGCTTGTGTTTACCTTTACTCCTTTTACAAGAAAATAGGTCTCCAAAATGTAAAGTAGAATCTCTTATCAAGTAATAAATAAGGCTTTAAAATTATCTTTTTGACTCTCTTGGAAAAATAATTGGTATTAACTCCACTAGTAGGCAAGATAGACAAGTGCTCTGGAAAACATCTCAAACACTGCTAGTGGAGATGTAAATTAGTGCAGCATTCTGGGAACAATTGATGAATTTCAGGAGTCTTAAAACTATTCCTGCACATCTGGTGCTGGGGCTGGTGCTCAGCTACTTAATCACATCCGGTTGACCTCTGAGACCCCACGGACTGTAGCCCCCAGGCTCCTCTGTCCATGGGATTCTCCAGGCAAGAATACTGGAGTGGGTTGCCATTGCCTTCTCCAGGGGATCTTCCTGACCCAGGGATCAAACCTGCATCTCCTTCATTGGCAGACGGATTCTTTGCCTCTTGCCAAGCTCAAGCAATATGGTGGGCTGTGTATCAATTATAATGATGTTGTAGATGAGTATGGTACTTTGAAATATGATTATCATATTAAAAGGGAAAAACAGGCTATAAGATAGTTTTCACTGTGCAATTGAATCCAAGCAGATAAGTATTAGACAGTATCCAGTGTATTTCTTTTGAATTCAGATCCATTCCTTCTCTAAAAATTTGGTTGTATTTCAAAAGAGCGAAATGAAATACCACTAATTTTAGTTCCTTTATCTCCTGGAATGGAGACCATTGAGAAATTTTCCTGGGCCAATATACTTTTGGTATTTAGTGTACTGCAATCCAAATGACCTCTAAATAACAGAATCATTTCTTTCATAACAGGTAAAGTCCTTCAAGCCATAACACAGTCCTAAGATCTCGTTTAGTCTCATAATGCTACTGGAGTAATTATATACATAATTTCCCAACTCAAGAAATACTACAGCTATAAGATTTCAAATGCTTATAACAATTTTAAAAGCATGAACTGTAATCCTAACAATATTTATTATGAGATACTCAAAACACATGTACTTACAACTTAAAGTAATGTGGAATTTTAAGACTGATATTTGCATAATGTGTAAATACTGTTAAAGCTATACTGTCTTACAACCACTTAAAGGAGTATTGACTTAGTGTGACTTCAATTTTAATGTCTGAATTGGTGATTCAATTGATTTGCAGAGCAAAAAAGTTATTTTTACCCTCTTAAAGCTCATGAATCTCTGAATACTGAAGAGATAACCTATTTGTTACCCAGGTTTTTATTAGTCCAACAATAAAAAGTCTTCCTCCAAACCTCACAAAAGTCATTTGATCACCCTCTAATTTCAAGCAAATAGATATTGTGCCTACATGCTCACACTGAGTATTACTAACATGGAGATACTTCAATTCTTCCCTAAAGTTATTAAAGTAGCATCTCTGACTTCCATTAACAGAAATGAAAACATAGTCATAATGTTGGTATCACATGCAAAAAATGTTTTAGTACTTTCATATCTATCCCATTTTTATTGTTAGCAACTTCATATGCTGGATCTATAAGTCTCATTATTTTGACAACTTTGAACTTCTCTGTTATGGAAATTTTACTTCAACTTTGGGCATTCATCTTTGGAACTAAAAATGGTAGTGATGTGGTTCATAAAATTTCTCTGAGCATTGTGAGCACAGAAAAAAAATACAAGAGAGAGAGAAGGAACACTCACAATCAAGCACCTTCCAAGCTAAATGGTGCCAATTACATGCAGCTGGGAAATGGAAGAAGCCGCTACAGCACAGAGGTTGGCTAGACTACAAGAGCTTTCTTCCACATGTGGTAAAGGAAAGCTGACCTCGCCACGTGGTGCCTGGGACAGGTAGAAAAGAACCTAGGAGATTAGCATCGACTTCACAAGATCAGATACGGTGACTACCGGCTATGTTCTTTGTTTTTGGCCAAAAGGATTGTAACTGGAGTAGCAAGTTTAAAAAAACAAAACACTTTCTTCCCCCCTTTCTCCCATAGTGAAACTTAGGTTTGTTGCTTCTGGTTTGAGGCAGATAGTAAGTTACCGACATCCATGTGATTGCTTTCTGGTTGCATTTATGATTACTAGAATAGAATTACAAATACTCCACTATTACTTCCAGTCCTCAGCCAGATGTGAACCCGCCAAGTTAAACAAAGACTTCAACTTAAGATTTCTTTCTCACTACTTTTTTTTTTCCTGATTGGTACAGAAAAGACAAGAAGCAAGTACTGATTAAATTCTTTAAATCCAAAAATTAGTGAGGGTGGCACTACTTACTTTTGTAATTCCGAGACAAGTGTCCACTGCTACATAGGATAAAGTCCTGAGGTTTAGATTTCAGCTCTCAATCACAATCCCTAAAGAGGGTTCACTAGGAAGAAAAAGTAAAGAGTCTCTGCTCTAGAAGCATTGATCACAAACTCCAAATATTTCTTGTCCTCCTTTTTCAACCCTTAAGAAACACATTCTAACAGCCCACATTTCATTTCTGGCTTGGGACACCCCCAAAAGGTCATTTTGAAAAGCACTCTGCCTTTTCTTTCACATTAATTTTATTAACTAGTTCAAAAGAGACAATTTGCCAAATGAGATATTTTTATGTGTTCTTTTCTTGAGTAAGAGCAGTCATCTACAAATAAGTTTTCTATTAAAATGTACTCACAACAAAGCTCAAAACAAAATGACTTTTAAAATTAAAAGTTGTTATTATATGTGTAAGAGGCTAAAGTCAACTTACTGCTGAAAATACACACACAAAAAGGATAAATTGGTTGAAACTTTCACAAGAATGAAAAATGTTTAATAAACTTAGAATGGTGGGCTTATTAAACTATAGTGTTATTTACAGCCATAGTTCATCAACCACAAACACAATAATGTGTTTGCATGGCATGCTACAACAGAAGCTTTATTCAGTTCATTCAGAAAACATTGGCAAAATAAATTTCAATTGCAAATTCACAGATACAAGCTTCAAAGTATAAAGTTGTATATAACAAAAAATACAGGTAATATTTATAACAATAACTTACAGATACAAACTAATGATAAACTACAATTTCACAAAGGATTGTAAACATTTTGCACACTTGTCAGTCCTTTCTTTTAGGCAAAGTGCTCTTTTGATGACAAATAAATTAACAGATACACACTCGAGTGAACTATTTTCATACAATACAAAAAAAAGCTTTGATTTGTTTTCTTCTTGTAAACATAAGTTTTACAAAAAATGAAGAAATCAATAAAAGTGTCTTGCAGGCCAACTAGAGATACATACCTGGGCAGCAAAGTGATGTTGGAAATGCTTTGGGTGTTAAATAAAAAATTAACATTAATATATTTTCAATGGTATTTTATACATAACAAATGACAAGTTTATATCCTTAATCATTTCTATCCCTGAAAAAAGGAATTAAGTATGACTTATTGGCAGTTGTGTCATTGAATGGGGTAACAAGGGCTGGAGTCCAAGAGTTGTTGGTGAATGAGCTACAAAATAGAAAGAAATTTGTGGATCAGTTTTGTATGGTAAATAAAACTGACTTAAAAACAAACAAAAAACAATCCAAGGCAAAGTCCTCTCACTACTGATTATAGTGGGCACCAAGCTATACTCATTCCACTGACTTCAGCAGAGCATTAACTTATTCAGCATAGTGAGTATAGTATTATGAGAATCCAGGAATGGTTTACTCCAAAATCTTTATTTTGGGCCTCAAGCTTTTACCACTTTGAAGTCCTCCATCCATACCCCATTCACTGCACTTTACCCTGCAGCCAGAAACACCACCTTCGTCTATAGAAATTTTGCTAAATTTTATACAAAGTTTCCTCTATAGGGTGACTCCTGCCCCAAATTCCCATTTATGAATGTTTAACTGCCTCTTTCCTAAACATACATGAAAACACATTTGACTCAGGCAATACGACAGTCATTCATGTGAACACACACAAGTTTAATCCTAGTGTAGGGAAATGGCCACATGATACAGGCTCTGCTTTTCACTTTAGCCAAACCTTAAAATGAACTTTTCACTCTCAGCAAAGACTATGCTGCTTCAAACCAAACGTCCTTCTAAGAGCAACTAAGAAGGCTGGACAAAATTTTTAAAAAGCTGTTTGAAGGTATCTGAAAGATACCAAGGCAGTGAGAGTTCTCAAAGTCAAGCCCCAGAGAAGGAAGGAAATAAAATGAGGCTGCTTATCCTTCACAAGTGTAATAACAATTTCAAAAGAAAATGAGGGTCTAGGAGGCTGAGAAGTTTAGCAGGGTCAGGAGTTAGACTTTGGGCCATTGGGGAACAAATATGAAGGACCAGGTACCACCAAAGAGAAGCCCTCATTAAAGACAACAGACGCAAAACAAAACACAAGCTTTGGGGGGTATCCCAAAAGACTACTGCCAAGAAGTGGTGACCCAGAAACATGCCAGCCTTTGTGAGAACTGATGTCTGATTGGATTAAGTCGCTCTTCCCCTGACCTAACTTCCTGCCAATGGCAAAACTAAATTCTCTCTGGTGGAAAATATCCCATCCAGAGCTTCAAATTATTTCCAGTTTTTCATACCTCACATCTGAAGTGCAATAAAAAAGCAAATACGGCATGACTTGACCAAAAACAAAGAGGAAAAAACAATAGAATAGATTGGCAAAATATCCTGATATTGGAGTTGTCAAGTATGAACTTTAAAATAACTATAATTAGTGTAACAATTTTATTAAGGAATAAAGTGATAAGATAGATAATTCTGGTATAGAAATAAAAACTATATAAAAGAATGAAATGGAAATTCTAAAAACTGAAAACAAGAACTGAAATTAAGACCTCAGCAAGTGAGTTTTACAGCATATATATAGAGAGAATTAGTGAACTGGAATACAGGTCAGAAGAAAATATCTAGTCCAGAAAATGGAAGATCAAAAGGCTAGAAAATATGGACTTCAATAATAACAGAAATAATATTTGAAGATACAGAAAGTTTGTATAAGCAAATACATCAAACTTTCATATGCAAGAAGCATATCTAGGCACATTCTATAAAACTTAAAACCAAGCACAAAGAGAAAAGCTGGGGGAAAAGGACATTCATTTTTGAAGGAGGAAGAATGAGACCAACAGCTGACTTCAACAATAAGTGGTATCAAGTCAATTAACTATATGCTAAATAACAGAGACAATGGACGAAAACTATTTTATTCATATTGTCAATGTGCTGAAAGAAAATAGCTGTGGAAATCAACCTAGATTTCCACATATAAAGGAAAAGCCATTTACAATTAACTACATCAAAACAAAAACCTATAAAAAAAACCTAACAAAAGATGTGCAAGATTCCTAAACAGAAAACTCCAGAATATAAGAGAGCATTTGAAGGTGATCTAAACAAACAGAAAGACAGACTAGGATCATGGTTTGGAAGACGATATTATTAAGATGGTGGTTTCCTACAAACTGATTTAATAGATTACATCAAAATCTCAATTGTTTTTTCTTGGTGGAAAAAATATGGGAACATAAAGGGTCAAGAATAGGCAATACAAACTTAAACAATAAAACAGGATAACATGTATTACTGGACATCAAGAATTATATATCCAGCATTAGTAAAATAATTAGGTATTGATACAGAAATAGACCAATAAAACAGAATAGTATGTGCTAAGTCCCTTCAGTCACACCCAACTCTTTGTGACCCCATGGACAGTAGCCCTCTAGGCTCTCCTAAGGGTACAGAAATTGACATATAAATTATACAGATACTTGATTTATGACAAATGTAGCACAGAAAATCAGCTGGGAAATTGGCACTTTCATAAATATAACAAAGACTTTGTCCTTATTTTACACTACATAGAAACTTCAATTCTAGATGGACTATAAATCTAAATGTCAAGGTAAAACATGGTTAGTGAAGTTTGTAGAAGATACCATAGGAGGAATATATGACAAAGGCCCATTTGGTCAAAGCTATGGTTTCTCCAGTAGTCATGTATGGATGTGAGAATTGGACCATAAAGAAAGCTAAGCAACAAAGGATTGATGCTTTCGAACAGTGGTGTTAGAGAAGATTCTTGAGAGTCCCTTGGACAGCAAGGAGATCAAACCAGTCAATCCTAAAGTAAATCAGTCCTGAATATTCATTAGAAGGACTGATGCTGAAGCTGAAGCTCCAATTCTTCGGCTACCTGATGCAAAGAACTGACTCACTGGAAAAGACCCTGATGCAGGGAAAGATTGAAGGCAGGAAGAGAAGGGGATGACAGAGGATGAGATGGTTGGATGGTATCACTGACTCAATGGACATGAATTTGAGCAAGCTCTGGGAGTTGGTGATGGACAGGGAAACCTGGTGTGCTGCAGTCCATGAGGTCGCTAAGAGTCAGACACGACTGAGAAAATGAACTGAACTGATGGGAGGAATACCTTCATTTATCTTTGAGTAGGAACAATTCCTTGAACAGGTCATAAAAAAAGCATTACTCATGAAGGAAAAAAACTGATGATTACATTCAAATTAGGAACTTGTGCTCCATAAAACATACCCTTAAGAGAATACATATAATCATGAAAAAACATATCTATATGCAATACACTGCCAAAGTTAGCACAAATCAAGGAAAAACAAAACAGATAAGCCAATAGACCAACAAGCAAAAGACATGAACAGGCACTTCACAAAAAAACAATATACAAACGCCCAAAGAAAAAAATACTCAGGCTCATCAGTGATGAGGGAAAAGCAAATGGAAATAATGAGATAGCACTATACAACCACTAAGCTGGCTAAATTAAGAAGTCACACTACATCAAGTGCTGGAGAGGATTGTAGAGCACCTTGAACTCTCATGTTCTGCTGGTCAGAGTGTATACTGGTTCAACCAGTATCAGAAACTTTATGGCAGAATCAACTAAGATTGAACAAATGTGTAGCCAGGACCCTATACCCTACTCTTAGCATATATATACTAAATAAAAAACTGAATTAATGTGCACCAAAAGGCGTGTACAATGAGGCCCACAGCATCATATACATAAAAGCCCAAACTGGAAATAAAATGAGTGCCTACCAACCCTAAGTGGATAATGGTATCCTACAGTGGAATTTTGTATAACAATGAAACAAATCACTGATTCTTGCAACAATACAAAGGAATCTCACAAACAGAGTTGAAAGAAGTGAGACACAGAATACATTCTGCAAGGTTTGATTTATATAAAGCTCAACAACAGGCAAAACCAGAACATGATTTTAGAAGTCAAGGCAATGTTACTTTGGAGGAAGAGGATAATGACTGGGAGGGGTCATAAGAGAAGCTTCTGAGGTGCTAATTATATCCTACTACTTCCTCTGGGTAGTATTTACATAGATATGTTGATTTTATTAATTCATCAAGTTGAATACTTCTGTGTGTACTTTTCTATATAGGTTTTGCTTCAATAAAAAAGTTTCTTTAACAAAATTCAGTAAACCTCAATCTAAAAATCTGAGGGTGAATACTGTCTCTGACCATAGGAAAATAAATTATTCAAATGTTTATCAGGTCAAAACAAAAAGAATGTTTTTTTCTAAGTAAAAATCAAGCACTATCTATGAGTCATTATGAATATCTGTATTTCAGCTGTAAAGTGAGTGTGATGCACGCCCCTTAAAAGGCTGCCACAGAAGAAGGCTGGATAGTTCTTCCTACTGCATCCCTCTCCCACAGTATTTTTCAGCTACTACTGAGGTAATATTGCAAAGTGTGAATCCTTTTAATAATATAATACGAGGAGGTATGAGTGATGGTTTGAAAGGCAGCTGTTAAATGTTAGGATACCTACCATCCATATAGCTATGCAGTGCAGTTAGCATCGTCCCATCTTGGGGCACGTAGGCAGAGTAAGCCATTTCTTCTAACATGGGTGGAGACAGTCTAGAGGGCGGCACTGCTGTGACTGGGGCAGAGGAGGAGTGGTTAGGGCTGACATGCTTCTTGTGGCGAGCTCTACAGTTCTGAAACCATACCTGAGAGAGGAGAAAAGCAACAGGAGCTATGTCACATCGCAGCTGAGTAAAACACCAGTTCAATACAACAAAGGATGCAACTCTACCATAAAAGCACAGCATAAATCTAAAGCAGCTTTCTTTAAAAAAGAGTTCTGTAGACACAAGAAAAATCATTGTGCATGGTTATCAACAGTCATTTTCTTTGCCCAAATAATAATTATCTGATGATTTAACTTAAAACTGGTTCTATAATAAGCCAGCATCTTCCAAAATAAAAACAGGGGAGGGGATTCAAAATTTCAGAAAAGTTTCCTTGGTTCTCCTACTGACATTTGGGACAAAAAGAAAAATGGTAAAAACCCTTTCATCAGAAATTTTTTTAAAAAAAATACACTACTCACTGTATTCTCAGACACCTGCTAGACTTATTTGAAATCCATTTTCAAATGATTAAAATCCCCACTGAGAATTTAAGGCTTTCTACAAACCTCTTGATTCAGTTATTCCAGTCTCTTGGTAACCTGCTGAGTTCAATTTCTCTTAGTAAATACAGAGGCTATTCTTTAAGAAGCAGGTTACAGTCAGGCTTACAGAAGGAAACAACTAGCAATATTTAAGTAGAATAAAATATAAACACATCCACTGGTGAGACAGTTCACCAAATGTAAAGAGCTAACCACCTTGTTGTCCACTCCATCACAGAAATAAAGGAAGCAAGTTCTGGGTTAAGCAGAATTTCACATGCAGGTCAGGGTAAACAAGTCTAGACCACCCAGAATGCTTCCAGTAACTAAGCTACCTGCATGTGAACTTCCTGCTCTTAGATAAAACCTGCCTACAGAGTGTTCCTCTATTAAAATATTACAGCATTTATTTGCTATCACTCCAAACAACGCTGTCGTAAGAAGATAGAGAAGTGGAGGGATAAAAACTTTATAAGGAAATTAGGATAAGAACATTTGGGGATCAAGGGAGAAGGTCAGGGGCATAAGTCTCTGCCCAGGACTGGCAGGCAGTTAGTTGACGGCTCAAGGGAATCAGGGCTGAAAAATGTGAAACAGAGGGCTGAACAAAAAAAAGATTTATTAAAAAGTTGGCCTGACTTCAAAAGGCATACCTTGTTATCCTTGGGACTCATAAACAGAGGTATAAACTCAACGGGTTAAAACCAAAGGAAAAGGAGTCTGAGCAGGTGGCTGAGGGGTAGCATCTAAGGAGTATTTTGGGAACAAGCTTAGGCGTGTATCAAGGAAAATGATGTAGTCACAGCCTTATCACCCCTGTTCTGGAGCACTAGCGTGACTCAGGTATCTATACAGAGACTTCATCCAAAGTCTCAGTCACAGTTCCCTTTACAAGCTCCTGAACAACAGGTGCCACTGCTGTCACCCAGCCAGCCAGGAAGACACACTCACACACTCTCCAACTTTTAACCGGGGACGGCTGCCACCTGCCCTTTCCTCTGACGCTGCCCAGAGGACAGGCACCCCAGAGGACTACATTAACCCAAAACACATGGCACTACGATTCCCAGGGTTTCTTCAAGGTATCTTATGTCTCCAATAAATTATATATCAGATGGAAAATATGCAGTTTTTTTAAAAAAAATTCAGACTTTGGAAATAAATATGAAGCCAGCCTGATGCTAACAGTAGAATAACTACCTTAATGTAATTCAAATACCGCCTAGAAAAAAATCATCAGGTAATTAAGCAAAGAGAGGTTTGAAAACACAAGTGTCATGTAACTTGCACATTTAAACAAAGCTTAAGATTTCAGGCATCAGAAAACTTCTGACATGAGGACTATCTAGCTTGAGGAACGAAATACAAGTCCTTTTGATTGTCCTTACTGACTTAAAATCTCCTCTTGCTTTGCAAACCTCTTACAGAGTTAAAATTTCTTCTAAGTAACATATTTTTCAAAAATCTGAGTTGTAAATTATAAAATACATAAGCTGAAAGCAGGCCACATAGACATTCTGTAAAAGAAAAGACTAGTGCCTTAGATCAATCTCTTAGAAAACCCAAAGGGACAAATAAAATAATTTAATGTATGAAAAAGATGTGATTTTAAATGACTGGGAAATTAGAGCTGGCATAGAATTGATTAGAGAAAGCTAACTAATCATTTAGGGGGAAAAAAAAGAAAAATCTCAACTTTACAACATGTATCCAAAAGTCCATTACAAATAAATAAGGGTTTATATATAAATAATTGGGACCATGAATGTTTATCAAAACAAAAGCCAATGTTGATATATTTCTCTACGTGAAGCAAGAAAAAGGCCAAAGCTATCAGAAAAAAAATATGAAGAGATTTGAATACAAAACAATGTAAAATTTCTATGTGGAAAAAATAAATGAAAAGGCAATTGATGAACTATGAAAGCTTAACATGATAAACAATAAAAATCAGTAAGATAAAGAGAAAAGAAATAACCCAATATAAAAAATCAGCTAAAAAATACATTTTTAATCACAATATAAGCAAACATATTAAGGTTTACTGATATAAAAGAAAGATAAATACAAACAATATTTTCTTACGGGCAATTGGAAAGGATGTAAAAGAATGATAGTTTATAGGATTTATCCACATTGAGGAAAGATAAATTTCGTATGTAGATTCTGGGAGAATAAATTGATTATGAACTTTCTGCAATGTGAATTTTATACTATCAGTCAAAGGCTCTTATAATCTTTTTATCTTTTGATTCAATAATCTCACTTCTAGAAATTTATCCTATAGATACCACTGAACAAATGCACAAAGTATATACACAATGTTCTTCATTATAGCATTTTTATGATGTAAACAAGTTCTTAATAAACTAAATAAATTATATAGCAATACAAAGGATGTTATTTTAATATGGAACGAGAACTCCAAGCACACTGGGTGAAATAGCAGTGTTTTATCATGTTTCTGTAAGATACACAATTCATAATTCAACTTTGTGAAAGGATATGTGAGCAGTGATTATATCTGGATGTACAGTGTTAAAAATAAAATCACCCATCTTTGTTCTGTGATTTCAGCTCAGTGATGATCTACCCTGTTACAATGTCTCACTATGCAGACTTTCAAGGCTTCCCTGGAGAAGGTTCAGATGGTTAAGAATCTGCCTGCAATGCAGGAGATCCAGGTTTGTTACCTGGATTGGGAAGATCCCCTGGAGAAGGAAATAGCTACCCACTCCAGTATTCTTGCCTGGAGAACTCCACGGACAGAAGAGCCTGGCAGGGTACAGTTCACAGGGCCTTAAAGAGCCACACACGACTGAGCGACTAACAATTTTCACTTTCATGCAGACTTTAGCTAGTAAAGGTGAGACCTGAACTTATATCCTGTATAGGACCAGTATTTCCACCTAATATTTGGGTAACCTAGTTTGCATATAAGAATCAAGGCCTAGTAAATCTCTTTTCTTTAACATTTCTAATGTGTGCTCAATGCTAGGAGCAGCTGGGCAAAGAGGTTCTGATTACTATTTGAGTTCACAGTAATTAATCCTTCAAAAATACTGTGAAGGACTATATATTTGAGTTGTTAGTACTCCTTTGCCATCTTATCAAAATATTTAAATTTAACTCTTACATATTAAAAGCCACCACCCAACAATATCTTCTCCAAGTTCTAGGGCTTGCAATGTAGTTAACTTGTTCATAATACTGGTGACCTAAATACCTGGAAATTATATGAGAGATGTCTGTCTGGGGTTCTTACTTCTTCAAACAATAAAGAAAGCTCTCAGAAAATCCTCCATTTTCCTTTGCTTCCAACTTCAAAATAGTCTAAAACATAATAACCATGAATCTGAGTTAGCTACAGCAATCACTGTCACTGAATGTACAGAGTCTTAGATTACAAGGACCCTCTCAGACCATTGGGTTGGACCTACCTCAACAAAGGAAGTTTCCACTTCCAGGTAAAGGAAACTCACCATCTCAATGGTGTGTGCTAAGTCGCTCAGTCATGCCTGACTCTATGTGACTCCACGGACTGTAGCCTGCCAGGCTCCTCTGTCCATAGCATTCTCCAGGCAAGAATACTGGAGTGGGTTGCCATGCCTCCTTTAGGAGATCTTCCTGACCCAGGGATTGAACCCATGTCTCCAGCATGGGCAGGCAGTTTCTTTATCAGTAGTGCTCAACGGTAGCTGATGCCAATTTTGTAGACTTACATACTGAGAAAATTCTTCACTGTGAGTGAAATCTGTTTTTCTCCTACATTCCCTAGCAGAGACACGATCCTGCCGCCATTCATAACCATTTAAAGACACCTCTGTTTATACTCTTCCTTCCCTTACCATCTCTGGATCTTTTCTCCAGATAAATATCCCTGTTGCTGTTGATAACAGCACATGATTTCCAGACTTTCATGACCTTAATCTTCTTCTAAAGGGAGCACTCTTTTCACATTGGTTCCTTGTTAGCCCCTTTCTAGAATCTGGCACTCTGAGACAAACACAATGCCCTGGACATCTGAAAGTACTGATGTCATGGGACTTGCCTCCTCAGACAGCCTCATTACACTGCACTTAACCAAATCCACTGCAAATCTAGGTCTTCAGAGAAGCTGAGGTATCGTCAGGTCTCTCCCACTGACTTCTTGGAATAAATGATCTTTTAATTATGAAATACTTCAGGCTTACTAGAAATAAACTGAAGAATAAACACCTGTTTACCCACCAGCCAGTTTAAGAAATAAAACATTATAGTGCAGTGTTAGACTTAACTGTTTCCCCCCCACTGAACTTCATCTTGGTAGTCAGTCACTTGCATCATTACTCCGTTATACCTTTTTAACCTTAAATATTATCTAAAATTGTTTTCCATTTCCCTAATCGAAGGGAAATATAAGATCCTGACACAGTTGACCACCTCCATCTTGAATCCACCTCAGCCCTTGGGCCTCCATGATGCTTCTACACTAGACTCATTCCTTGGTTCTGGCTGTGATGGTCCAGTTCAAACAGCTCGCTCCATAAAGTTCATTCTTTAGCTTTTACTGTCCACAACCTCTCTATAAAGGATCTAATTTCATGAATCTTGTTCATCCTTTGTAAAAGTTGCTCAGTTGTGTCCGACTCTTTGTGATCCCATGGACTGTAGGCTGTCAGGCTCTGTCCATGGAATTCTCCAGGCCAGAATACTGGAGTGGGTAGCCAGTCCCTTCTCCAGGGGATTTTCCCAACCCAGGCATCGAACCCAGGTCTCCCGCACTGCAGGCAGATTCTTTACTTTCTGAGCCACCAGGGAAGTGTATCCATGGAAATGGTGTTTCATCCTTTAAAATACCAGTTTACATGCTCAACTGCCGCCATCATTGCCTGATAATCAGAGCTGGACCCAACTGCTGAACCCACATTTTAAAAAACCTTTAATATTCCTGTCAGTAGCACCATTTCCACAGATACTTTGACTTCAAATATAAGTCATCTTTGATGTCTCTCTGCTTCACCATTACAGTGGCCAGGTCTTTTTCCTTGTCTATCTTGCATCCAGTGCCTGCCATTAGTGTTCAGTCGATAAAATGCTTCAGAATGAATTTGAGACCACCACCTAAGTCTCTTTTTGCAAAATCATTATTTTGCTGGGCATCACACCTAATCTGTCAATCTCCATGTAGCCTCTCCCAACTCTAAGTCTTCCTATGTACTGATACCAGTCCTTTCTTCCTAAAAATACATATCATGGTTTTCTCCTGCTCAGAAGCAAACTTGATATTCACAGGCCTCTCTAAGTTCAGCTCAAAAAATTCTATTTCCCACAATTTGCAAACATAAATTTTATCTTCCAACAAATTTGCTCTAACTTATCCTTCCCTACTTTTGTTTACATCATTCCTTCTACCTGGATCTTTAATAAAGGTCATCAACATTGCCCACCCCCTGCACACATCCACATCCACAATCATAGAAAAGTAGAAACAATTCTGGCTTCAGAAGATCTAGCTTCAAACCATAGTTGCTTTTTAGCCTTAGGATCTTAGGCTTGCTCTGAGCAATGAATGAAGTAACTTCTGCAAAGAGCTGTCTAACAAATGGTAGCCTAGATCAAGCAGGCTAATTAATTATCAGGCTTTTAAAAAAAACTGATTTAGAATGTGAAGAGATCTAAAATGAGAAGCTAATGCTTTGACATTTTACACACACACACACACACACAGAATGTACACTTATAAAAACCTAGAATAGAAGTTTTAGTATCTCTTGATTAACCTTTAAAATAGTCACCTGTATCACACGTCTGCTCAAGCCTGTCCTTTCTGCCAGTTTCTGGAGAGTCTGGGCATCTGGGTTGTTGTCCTGAGCAAACTGTGCTTGCATAACCTGTTTTTTTAAAAAATGTAGGTATTAAATAGTAAATAACTAAAAATAAGAAGCTCAATCTTCTGAAGTTTGATGACAGGAGAGATAAGGCATGCACAAGAAAATGGAGTACTTGTATTTTACTACTTGAAAATCAATACAGAGAAGTGTATATCAATGAAAAGAATGCATATTAGGTAAAATGATGCACAAGTTGCTATGCTGAAATCTTTAAAAAGATCAATTTCAACATAAAAACTTGTCTCTCAATTATGCTGTTAAAAATAAGCTCACCTTTTCTTCCATTCTTACAACCCACAAAAAATGCATAATAGTATAAGTCCATTTACTATTTTTCCCATTTTGTTAAAAACTACTAGCATTAAACAATTTTTAAAAATATAAAAATCATATCTTTGACCTCTACTCAACTAAACAGGTTCAAGGCTCCTACATCAATTTGTCTTAGTATGAAAATAGTAGACAGTGCAACAGATTGCACTCCACTTAATTGCAATGACTCCATCATTCATTATTTCGACACTTGTTCTATGCAAAGGAACATCTGGGACCTTAAAAGAGAGACACTCATCAGTCTATTGCATAAGAATTTCCTGAGATCTAAACATTCATAGATTGAAAAGCTCCCAGGTGATTCTGATGTGAACCTTTGGATTGGAACCTGGCCTCAGCTGCCTGGGAGAAAAATATATGCATGCCAATAATTAACAACAATACAAGCTAAAGTGAGAAGCACGGAGTGGAGGAGGAGGAGAAAGAGGAGCTCCAGAATAAAAGCACAAGCAAAGGGCTTTGGATTCCTTCAGAAAAGGAAGGAATGGGAATCAAGCAAGATATCTGAATTTTATTACTTAAAAGTCAATAGAGGGAAGTATAAAATATAAAGAAAATATTATAAGAATGAAAGAGTGGAGCCTAGCATCCAAATGATTGTGCATGTCCTGGGCATGGGATGGGGGAAATCTACCTAACCTAAAGTCCTGCTGACCCTGACACCATTTCCAACAGTCAAGATTAACTGCATCCTCTGCTATGTGCCTCAAATAATACCATCTTCTGCCACTGCACTTGTCACCAGGTAGCTAGCTAATTTGCTAGCAAGTCGAACTCTTCATAGGAGAAAGTGAGTTTCTGGAGGGCAAAGGGAATGTCTTATCCATTATATCTGGAGATAATGCCCAGATTAACTGAATGAACCTCCACAATGTGCAGAAAATCTGAAGATAGTGTGGAGAAAAAGACCAATGTTGTCCCGGGAAACCTTATGAGGTTTAAAAATTATGTATTTTTTTCAGTTAAGTTCTCACTCATAGGGGCTCTTCCAGAATAAGGCATTCCTGGATTCCAGGCCAATATACTTGTCCACATAGTTGCTGTAAACTAGCACTTGTACTTTTGCTTTTAAAAATGGGCAGAAACAGCCTAAAAGTTTATTATCATGCCCAGTTCGCTTCATGCTTCCTCTCTTACTCCAAATGTGTTACTTTAATATCTTCATATGCAAACAGTTGTGCTTATATGTAGCTGAGCATGTAACATCCCAAAGAGAAAAAAAGAATGAACAAATTAATGTCTTTGTTTTTTTAATTTTTCAAGGAGAAAAGCTGAACAGATATTCATTTGTAATGCCATAATGGATAATTTATAAAACAAAAAACATATGCTCTTCACAAATGCATTTCAAATTCACAAGTTTAATAATGGAACCAAATTACATTTACTAAAGCAATTTCTCATTAAGGAATAATGGACAACTTAAATCAACACTGATGGTTTAAAACTGGAACATGCTAACGGAAAAGTAAGATGTATTCATCAGTGTTTAGTCTCACAAAAGAATCCTTTTAATTCTGACTTGGTTTCATTGCTCTCCAGTCACTAATGATGCCAAAAATCTACCCTATTCCTCTTCTGAGCTATTTAAAATGGTCAAGGATCTAGTCTCTGTAGACACATCATTTTAAAGCCAGCAAGTCTACCAAAAATGTCGAGTCTGCATAGTAGCAGCTGACCAACTTAATCTGAAAGTAGATTAAAGTAGGTGCTAACCCTGGCCTGTTTAACATGAACAAGCATTGAGCAAGTACTTCCAACTACAATAAGCAAACCATAACATTGGCAGGAACTTTTACAATACGATTTATACAAATGAGACAATATTTGAAATAGTTTTGCCAACACAGAATAGTCTATTTTGTAAGTGTTAAACTATTTTTTTCTTCTCGTAATTTTCTAAAGAATTTGGGAAGCTTGTTCCTCATACTTTAACTCTTCTAAGTCCAAACAAGGTAGGTACTGTATGAATAGTCTTGACTTACTGATCACCTATATTTTATTGTTTTGCTAAATTCAAGCACTACTTAAATAATTAGCTTTCTGAAAAGTAGGACAACTTAACAATGAGGTACATGGCCTGATTTTTAAAGCTTCTAGTAAAGTATAATGATTTAACTTATTCTAGATACCTAAGCAACAAGGAACACTTGAGGACAAGATTATGCCTCATTGTTTCAGTCATTCCTGGCATAGACAGATGCTAATAAACACTGAATAAATGAGAACATGCTTAGAAAGAATATAATTTCTGCTTTCATTTTTAAAAACCTATGATTCTGGTATAAATTTTTAAAAACTGATGATTCAGATCACATTTTCATATAATAATGCATGGCTTAAGTAGTTTTATGCACATTTGCAATTTAAAACTATAAAGCCATCTTCAAGATTCAGAATCTCACTCTTGTTTTAGATGCCACAGCCATTAAATGGAGTCTTGGTAAGGCACAGTTCTACTCATGGTCTCCTGGGAGGCCAACGAAAATTAAAAGACCAGAAGTTTGGGAAGTAGGGTCCAAATCTCTTTGCCAATCCCTTGGTTGTCTGCCTTGGGGGAGTCCCTGCAGTTTTTGGATGAATTGTAAGAGATGAAAGAAGAAATTACAGGAAGTTATCGGGCATAGGACTTGGTAAACAAAGACCTCCACAAATATTATTCCCTTTCTATTTAATTAGTATCTATACTTTCCAGATGAGATTGTACATATCTACCTAAAAGTTGCTTCAAATTTTCAGTTGCCCTTTTACTAATAAATTTTTATATCGAATTAAAGTCATCAGTCTTATGACTATTAAAATTACAGCTAGTCTTTCACAGAAACAGCCCACTTTATACACAGAACATATTTATATTAGAGATTATATTTTAAGTCAGACACCTTTTAGCTACTGGGTATTTTGCTACCAGGTCTCCCACAGGTATACGTATCCCCTAACCTGGGGCTTTACGTGATTTTCATGATAACCAAATGAGGCACCCAGAAAAACAAACTTCAAACAGATATTTCTTTCAGCTGCCTTACCTTCCATTTTCTACTTACTATGTCGTCGATGCCTGAAGTAAGGAATCAAAAATTATTTTCTGGAATTTATTTTAAGAATGGATCTAGACTTTAAATCTAGATTGCTTTCTCAGGGACATTAAGGTCCTTTGGGATATTTATGTCATATCAAAGCTTCTTTTTTAATCATTGTCAAAACAAATATTCTTTTACTGCATTCATCTTAAATACTGACAAGTATTAGAATACTATCAGTGATTTTTCAAAAAATTACCTTCACTCATTTATTAACATTGTATAAATATCTTCTAAAGTCTGAGCTAAGAAGATACTATGTGTAAAGCACCTATCCAAACATACATGGTAGGTGCTCAATAAATGTTACCTCACCTTAACAAAAAACAAACACTTCAGTCACACTAATCTTTTAGAAAATGATTTATCTGAAAAAAAAAATGTCAGAAATAATCACTGTGTGTACAGACTTAAATAAAAAGCAAAGAGTAATTATTTCATTATTTTCCTGACTATAAAAACAGAAGTTATGACAATTATATTTAGGGCAACTAAGTTGAAAATAATCCCTCCATTTTCAGGGAACATAATCAAACTTTAGCATCAAATTATAGAATTACTCCCTCTACCCCCTTTAAAAACAAGGAAAGGTCTACTTGATTGCAGTCAATCAGTAGATTTCTATTTATGGTAAGGCATGTTCAATTCCTTCCTACTCAGAAAATGTACAATCTTGTCTATTAAAAGACTCCATGCAGTTTGTTAAAAAGATGAACACATCAGGGTCCCACAGACCCACATACTGAATATTTCTTTCTGTTAAGTGTCCCAAAATGTTCTGTCTTCTACTAAAATTACATGTAGTAACATAAATACCTGGGTTAAAGTAATTTTTTCAGGAAGTTAGGACAGAGCAACATTTTGTTTGCACCTTGACGTTAATGTTAACAGACATCAGGGAGACAAACTTGCAGGACAAGTTCACATCATACCACGACTCTTGGAATATTGATAAACAATATTTAGGGCAATGTTTTTATACACTCAACAAGTCAGTTTGCACAAAAAGCACAGACTAACCTTTTTGAAAAAATAAAAATGTTTTAAGACAGCATAGACATTGCTTTTTGTTTGGCTTTTGTTCGTTTCGGTATTTTTTGCTTATAAGGGTTTTTCTTTTTTTTGGTGGAAAGGGGCTTCAAAAACTCAAATGCATCGTCATGTCTACCTGGAGCTGGTCTGCTGTAAAGCTGGTCCGAGCTCTTTTTGCTGGTTTTGGATGATTAACATCTTGCTCTGTAAGGAGGGCGCCTTCAACACTAATCCCATTACCTGCATTTTAAAAAACACAGCAAATGTGTTGGTAACTCAAATGGGAGCAGTCATACAATAATAGGTTTCTTGCATCTCTTGGCTTGGTATGAAACTGTATACATCTTCTAGTTTGCCAAATCCCTTAAGATTTAGAACACACTAGAAACATAATGTAGAAACAACATTTCATTTGCAGGCTTATATATTTAGTCAAAAGTGCACCAAGTTGGAAGTGCACATCTAAGGCTCACCCTTAAAAAGGCAAACACAAGGAAACAACTGGTTACAAAAAGCAAAACAGAACCCTAAACTCAAGGCTGCTTCCTGAGAATATGGCACAAGGCAAATACATATGCCATGGCTTTTCTTATAAATAAACAGATGGAGACCATCACTAACAGTAGAGGGCTTAATGAGTTTCACCACAATTACTCTGCACAAAATAATGCTTTAAGACGACCTTAGGAAAAAATCATTTTTATCCCTGTGTTCACTGTCCCAAAAGATTCAAAAGTATTTTAAGTATATATTTACCATTTTCCACTTCTCTTTTTAAATTATCCAGCATGCAGTCATAATGCACTCTGCAGAGGACTTTCTCTTCCACTAAAGCAAACTCCTCTCCCGTGGAAAGTTGTCTTTTGCAAGAAAAGCAGGCAAAGCACGCCAAATGATAGACATTCCCCTTGGCCCTCCGGACCCAGTCAGTAGAATGGATATGCCTCCCACAGCGAGAGCAGCGAGTTCCATACCTTCTACATAAATGGGGGGGGGAGGGGGGGAGGATGTGCGGAGGGTGAAGAGTTAATGCTTGGTGAGATATTCATCAGTCTAGGATTAAACTAACACATTATATTACTCATTGGATTAACCCAAGTATTTAAATCTTTTGAAAATGAAGCAGGAATCAATTATTTTTTAAAAGTCAATATGGTAAGCAGCAGCAAGACTTGAGAAGGGATCATAATTCAAACCTGTTTATAAAACAAAAACTTTTCATTGTTATTCTAAAGGAGGATAACATTTTTTCTTTTAAAATAAATGAAATATGAGTTTCAATATCCTTCTTATAACAAATATCAGGACATTTATAAATTATCTAGAGACTCAACATAACACACACACACACTCCAGACTGAAAAAACTAAAAGTACAAAGCCACACCATTGAAGATACAAATAATGATGTCTTAAAGCCAAGTTGAGACAATTAGAAAATGCTTTAAAATTTTTTAAAAAGTTAAAACATTTAAAATAGATATTATCAAAGAATGAATAGAACAGAAATTGTTCACTCTGGTACGTGAGGAAGGAAAACTCAGAACTGCTCCCTTTGGTAAACAAGCTCTTGCATTACCATCCACAAGAGGAGGAGAAATATTACCTAAAACTTTTAGACACATTTCTGGACATTAAATGCACGTTAATCTTAACAAAATGCCACATGTAAAGATTTCCTTTTCCTCTCAGTCCTTGTGACACTCTGTCATATCTCCCACCACAACTGCAGTCATAGCCTGGCATATCCACATTAAACTAGAAAAGTATATCTGTCTATTCATTAACATATCTCAAGAGGTATTGCTAGTTTTTAAGTTAATCTGAATCATAAAAATCAATTTTTGAATATAGTAAAGTAAAGGTATTAAAAAAATCCTGAAGAACTAGACTTGTAAAAAGTCTCTGAAAACAAACATTTCAAGCAGCTTTAAATTTAAAAAAAATTAAGATTAGCATACCCTATGTGAAAGAGGAGGCAAATCTGTTTTTGAGAAAACAGAAAGTAAACCTGATGAGAAATATATGATTTGGGTAATTATAAAATCCTATGATTTTATAAAATAAAGGACTCTGGGTTTCGTGAAGTGCTTTAACTTGCCTAGCAATTTTATTCAAATCAATCACTAAACTCTTAAATCAGTTTTTGAAATTAAGTATAAGCAACATAATTAGTATTACAAACTTCATTATGTAGTATTAACTTTCCAATTTCACAATGAACATTCTTCTTCCTTTGGAAGTACAAATAAAGGAAAAAGGTGATAATTTTTAAAAGTCCTGCTTAAGGATGACTTCAAGGATGACTTGAGATAGCTATCCATTAAGAATTGAATTCTATCCTTGAGGAAATTTTCCATTTAAATGATTATAAAGAGACCAGGCAGAGAAAATGTTACATTTAATACCCTAGGCAAATATAATTACACAAAATAAATATCAAAGAACAGACAAAAGAAACAGAATTTTTAGGCAGCTTATGTAATTAGACTTGGTGTAGTTCTAATACTGGAATGGTCAATTCTTCTGAATAATATGGTTTATCACAGTTTTCAAACTGCTGGCATTTTATAGGTATATTACAGGGGGTCATCCTATAATAAACTGGTAAAAGCTCAACAACACTTTGATTTTTTTTCCCCTATAATTACTTCATTTTGTCTTACTACTCTGCCTGAACAAAGAGCACTGCTATAAGTCACCTTATATTTCACACTTTATCTCCCTGCACAGCAAAGAAGCTTCCCTGTTCATAATACCTAAAACTTTCATTTGCCAAGGTAGAAAAAATTATTCAAAGTTAATTTTTATATACTAGTCCCTAAAACATATAAATATGCTAATTTTGTTTTAATCCGATTTACCTCAAAAATATGAAGCATTCTCATTTCAAAATCTGTTGTACAAGAAAAAGTGGGCTTCAGTAAGTAAAACTGGACTAGTAACCCTATTTATAAAATTCTCTTTGTGTAAATGATGTCTGGGTGTATCCACTTACTTAAAAAACAAAAGAAGTTTCAGTGTACCTGAAATAATCAAGTTTGCAGAAAATGTCTTTGTCTTTAATGTAACAGCTGGTGTGCCTTCCTAAGGAGGTCCTGCAGACGCTGCAGGAGAGACACCGGACATGCCAGCACAGGTCGTTCACCTGTGAAGAAAGAGGGGCCAAGTGAGCAGCCATTCTAATACCACGCTTAAGAGTGTCCTTCATTAGTTTTCTGTATCAGGCAATTTTAAAAGCTAGCCCCTTAATATTTTAAGACACGCTCTGAATGTTTCCATCTAAGAGGTATCATTTACATAAATATGCATCTAGATATACTGTCTTTTAGATTTCAGCCAGAAAATTCACAACAGCATATTTTATACTTCCTGTTTTTTTTAATATAATTTTGAAAAATTCAAGTTTTTTTTTTTAAATCAAATGTCCATTCTGCTTTTTTTTTTAAAATCAACATCTATGAACATAGGGAAAATTTTGGTCACTTTAAGTCCTACATATTGGTTTTATAATTTTTCCTTGACCAAATTCTTCCCATCATAACACACTGCAACTAAAGAATTCAAGCCACATACCTTCTCAATCTACTTTTTAGCCAAATAATTATAAACTGTTCACTAGTTACAGTGAAAAAGAAAATGGACAAAAAGCTTTGTAAGATAAATACTTACCCTTGTAAAGAAGCAAGACAATTCATTTCTCTTACAAAACAGACACTGTTAAGGTAGATTTAGATGTTTTTATGGCAGAAGCCCTGGCTCCCACCTAACATTAAATAACCAAAACATAAAGCACTGGTAACCCTACTTTAATGATCTGGTCATTAAAGGAAAAAGTAAATCTATTATAAGTGGTTCTAAAAAGGCACACAAGTATTGTTTGTCATTTATACTTAGTAAGATATTTTATTTTATAAAATGCTTTAATAAATCATAGCACTTTACATTGTAAATAGGGGCATGAAATACTGTCGGATCAGTGGACAAATCACACAAACTCTCACCTTAAACTGTTGCCATCATACTATAAGCTGCATACCTTTAGCCTTCAGGAATGAAGATGTGCACTGAACTGAATTTGCCTATAATGCAAGCTCCTAAAGTTTGCCCTTGTTAAATGGGCACAAGAACTTGGTTTAGCTTAATTAAATTTCATTTAAAAGAACAGCAATAATGCAAAAACAGCAGTTACATTGTACAAATGGATCTAATACCTAATATAGGAACTAGGAAATTGGAAAAAATGGGAAAATTTGAAATACAGCTTTTGCTACACTATTTCATAATAAAGACAATCTTGTCCAATGATTCTATTATGTTAGCACTACTGTTCAACATGCTTCACTGTGACATGAAATATAAAAAGTACTGTGAAGCTGAAGGAGAAAGTTTCACTGGCTTCTAATTAGTTATGTGCCTCTTTCCAAAGCACTGATGATGTTAGTGAAATTTTAAGTTTTGGTTTTTCTATAAAAGAACATGCTCACCATACAAGAAAACAGGGAAAATAGCAATGGAAAACAGACGGAAAAAAATCTGAGGAAACCAAAATTTTAAAAATTAACAATGGTGATCACTGTCCTGGATATAGAGATGCATTTTCTATTTTTTTTCCCTTCAAATGGGTCCAATTAAATTAAAGTTGAAAAGTACAGGCTTCCATTAGTACTCCACTGTTTAAGGCCTTCTGCATTTTGATCTTATCCAGGCTCTTTTTTTTTTTTTTTTTAAAGCCACGATAGATGCAGTCTTCAGGGCAGAGTCATGGTCATTCTCTAGTTCCCTAAAGCCAGATGTAATTCCTGGTCTGCCACCTTTCCTCAAAGTTTACTAAAAAAACAAAACAAAACAAAAAACCTCCCTCATCTTCTTTTTCTTTTCCAGAGAGGAAAATAAGGTGAACAGAAAAAAATTCTGGAGACTATAAACCTTTCCTGATAGCTAGCATTCATCCAATCTCTATATGTATACATATATAGGATCAATACAGAAAAAAAATCACTCAAACGACAGGGCACTGAAGTATCACATGGAGCAATAGACGAATTTAACTCCTCTCACATTTTTGTTCTAACTCCATTTTACTTGCCTCATGACAGTGTTTTTCTATATTAAACAGTTACATCCTCAAATGTTCTATTTAACAACTATTTTTTTCACCAGTGACTTGAACTGAATTCAAACTTATCTGGAAGAATATGTACTCAAAATGGTGGTGGTGGTGAGGGAGTTGAGAACTCAAAAGAGTTTTTATATAACCATAAAGCGTCAAACTTTTGTTAGTTTCCTATATGATAGGAAGACAGTTTTCTTGCACATCTACTAATATGTACTTATGCATACTTTCTTGTACATATTCTAAAGGGTAAACTAAGACTATGTAGAAGACTTCATTGAGAGGACTCTGGTCCTATTACAAAGGAAAGCTTTTAAAAAAACTCATTTAGATAATTTGTTTTATACAAATATATATCTGATATATAAACATATGTTAACATATAAAAGATGAACGCTAGAAACAATTATCTATTTCAGAGGATATGTTAAGAGTCATTTTAAGCTTTTTTTCTTTTCCTCTCTAATATGAAGTGGATCCATTACACATCCATTCAGAAATATCCTGAAAGATACAGCTAATTCCTGAGAGGGCTCAAGAAAGGAAGCAGCTAGTTTTGATTCAAAAGATGGTTTTGAAATGTTCAAAGAGGTTCAGGTCTAGAAACACTGAAATGGGAAACTTAAGAATGCAGATTTAAAGAGAAAGCCATGCTAACTTGCCAGGCTTAAGAATCAACCACTAATTAAGTAACTTAGTTACTTTTTAAACAGTTTTCACCAAAATGCCTTTTAGTACTTTATCTTAGTTATATCTACAGGGTATCATTCCAACTTCCCAGATGAAGCAGCTTTGTATGCTGAGGCAGAAATTTAAAGAAATTCACAAACTTGCTTTTTGAATTCATATTCTATATAATGAATTCTTTTGAGAAACTAGGTGGGGGGTGGTGGTGGGGAGAATAGAAAGTGAACTGGTTGCTACTAATTTAGTGTAGGAGAGATCATTATTTTAAATAGTGGTTTTAAAAAACTATTGAAGTTGAAATTCCATGATATTAGGATTAAAACACAGGGGACTATGATCCTTCATGCAATGACATGGATAACTGGCCTGCCAGAATTTGTACTTCAAAACTCCCCCACAATATCTTGAGAGAAGTAAAACAAATTAAGACAGACAGTCAACTCTCAAACCACCACTTGAAGCACTTCATCCTAGCCATTTTTCTTTTTGTTTTGTCTAACTTCACATCAATTTCCACTGCCCTCCTAAGCACTGGAGACGACGTTAAAAAAAAAAAAAATCACTGGGTGGCCTTGAAATATTAAACCTTAGTAAGAGGAGGAAGATATTGAAAATGGTTTTTATTTAAATGGTAGTACGAATTTTATTTTGGAAAAGCCTCAGGTTGGTGTAAATAAACATAAGACAATAAAAAAGTATCTGTCTAGAAAGGAGACACTAAAAAGGGAAAATCGGTCAACATACACAAACGTGGAACCCTCAGAAGCAGGCAAACGCCAGGGTGTTACTGCGGGTTAGAACCCGAGGCTCGGTAAAAACAATTAGGTAGGACCCTGTTTCCAGAATGGATAAGGATTTCCCCACTTCCGTTCCTCTACAAGTAGGTGGCTGACTCCAGTACATTCACCCGGCTATCGGCACCCCGAGACCACACACACAAGCAGTTTTGCATCAACAGGGGGTATTCTAAGATTTCTTCTCACCTTATGAGTTGCTCTTGACTGGGCGGTTGTGCTAAGAAAGTCTACAACCTCGAGCGAGAACTTGAGTGGAAAAGAAGGGGAAAATAAACTTCTCTCCTTCCCCAGAGCTCCCCGGGGAACCGCGCTCGCCCAGGGCCTCGCGGCTCCGCCCTACCTTGAGAAGGTACTTGTCCACGATCTCCAGGCCGCAGCTGCTGCACACACACTTGCCAGGAGGGCAGACGGAGCCCGAGGCCATGGACCGGGGCGAGGACGGCGGGGACAGCGGGGCCGAGGAGGAGCAGGAGTCCTCGTCCCCCACTCCCTCGGGGCTCACCTGCAGGAAGCCACGAGGCGCGGTCTCAGGCGGTTCCAGACCCCTCCTCCTCTCCCCATCCCACAGGCCCGCGGGGGCTCCCTCACCGCCTCCCCTCCCTTCCCCCAAGCCACCCCCAGCTCCTGAGGTCCCGCTCCTCGCCCTCCCCGGGGTCCAAGCTCCCACGGCGCAGTCGCCGGGGCTGCAGACCCCGGACCTCAAAGTCCTGGGGAGCCTGGCGGCTCTGCCCAGCCCGCCCCAGATCCCTTCCCCTCCACCGGCTCCTCGAGGGGCCAGGTGAGCCCGGGAAGGAACTCGGGGACAGCAGCCCTCCGTTCTGGGCCGCCGCTCCACGGCCAGGACCGCGGGCCCTACCCACTCACCAGCCCCTCTTCCCCGGCGCCTTTCCGAGTCCTCCCAGCCGCTAGGGCTGCAGGCCGCCCGCACTCCTCCGACATGAGACCCTGGCACTGAGGAGGTGAGAGCCGGGAAGTGGGAAGGAACAGAGACAAGAAGTTCAGAGTCGGCACGTGCAGCCCGGAGCTTCAGCGTCTCGGTACGCGGGACGAACTAATGAAGGCCCCGGCGCGCCCGGCCGCGCAGGCAGCCGTCTGGGCGCCTGGGCCCGCGCGCTGCGGGCGAGCGGACGGCGGCGCAGCCCTAGCGCGCAGCGAGGCGGCCACGGGAGCTCCCGGGGGCTCGCCCGGCGCGCCGCCGCGCTCTCCGGGCTACGGGTCCCCAGCGCTCACCGGAGCACGCCGGTTCCCCGCCCCCCTGCCAGGGGTAACGAGTTAATAACAATCATCCCCGCACAAAGCATTTTCTCTCTAGACGTCAATCACTGCGGAGCGGGGATCACTGGGCTAAAGGGGGTGCATGGGGGGGTGGGGTGGAGTAGGAGAGAAGAAAAGAGGATTTGAGGAGGGGGTGGGGGTAGAAACTTGATTTCTTTAATAGCCTCAATTAAAAGAGAGAGACATATATATTTTTAAATGGGAGCTTTTTGAGTTGGATAGCCCGAAAGGTGAAGAGGTTTAATAGGATACTTGAAAGCTAATTACAGCGGGATTTAAGAAGCCTGGTGTTTGTTCCGATGACAATTTGAATGAAAATGCTTCAGATTAAACCGAGCCAGCAGCTCTTTCGTAAACTTACAGCAATTAGAGCAGCGAGTGATTTATACTCGTTTCTTTAAGGTGTAAATTGCCACTTATTGCTCGGTAAGTCAACATTTGAGTTACCAAAGGATTATTTTTAACCAGCGCAAAAAGCGGGTCGAATAATGGAAAATATCCAGCTGAATTTAATTTGTGTCATTAAAAAAACAACTCACACAACCTCGGTCAAAATGTTTTAAAGCAACAACGCGCATTACTCAAATGTTTCCAAGCCTTTGCAGGAGTTTTGTTCTTAAACGAAAACGCAGCCGCTCTGGGCTTTTTCTGCCTTCGTTTACGGAAACACTAGCTTGGGGGGCGGGGGGGTGGTGGTGGTGTCACGGAACTCGAGCGGCCCACACTTCTGTAGTTCTCTCCTCGCCTCCCTCTTCCCTCTGACAGCATCCAGCGAGATGCTGTCCGAACCCCTGAGTCCCCCCAACCCCACCCCCGGGCTGAATGCCGGGACCCAGCGCCGCAGCACGGAGGCCGCACCCTCGCAGACACAGAGCTTAGGCAGGAGCCCCCGGAGTTCCCGTGCGTTCCCCGCAAGCATTCGGGCGAAGACAAAGTCAATGGCGCCCGGTGCGGGGCCGCGGAGGCGCTCAAACAGGCTGCAGATGATTTTCAAACCTAAAACGCGACATACCCCGCGTTTGTGAGTCAACGCTCCTGCCTCCAGAGCGAGGTGAGAGTTTGTCAGTTCCCCGCTATCTACTCTAGGAACGGTGCGGCTCGAGAGCCCTAGGGTTTGTTTCTTTAGATTTTTTTTTTTTTTTTTTTAAGTAAAATGGCCCTCAAGCCCTCCCTGCGATCCCAAAGGTCTTCGTGGAGCTCCGTCTGCTTTTGTTTCGCTGTGCAACCGAGGCAGCGAGGATCGCCCTGCGGCCGGAGGAGCTCCTTGGGGCGGGCAAGCGTCCGCCGGCTGCCGGACGGAGAAGCCTCGCCTCGGCTCCGTCCCTCCCCTACGTACCCCCGCCCCCAGCCGCCCGAACCACGCGACTCACTCTCCCGACCTCCCGATCGCCGCTGCAAACACAAAAGCACGACTCACATCGCCTTAGGCTCGAGGCTTCGTCTCCCAAATTACGGTCTCCATGCCTCAGGTTAAGTGAGCTTGTGGGGAGGGGAGGCAATGATTACTGCCTAAAGCCACTACGTAATAATTAAAAAAAAAATTGCCGGGTTTGAAGATGAGACTGTTACAGGTAATTTCTGAACCTCGTTTAGGAGCCCAAACAGCTCGCGTTTCACGGAAACTGCGATTCAGCTGGTCTGGCCGGGCGTCGGGTCGCTCACCTTCTCAAGGGGAACTGCCAGCTCCGGCACGTCCTTTTCTTCTAGTTTACACACAAACATCTGATCGCTTTTCCAATACATGGCACTGCTAGGGCTGCTTATCACATACCAACTCCAGAGGGTCAGAGGCAGTCGGTGTCTGTCGATCTGGCCCCCCTCCCCCGCCCCAGTGCATTAATGAAAGCTGACACGCCAACAAGGGTAGGAAGGCTACAAGTCTTCGTCCAAAGAGGCCGCTGTGACCGTAGCCACTCCGACGGACTGTTCCTAAGACTCTTTCCCCAACTTCATTGAGCTCTGCCCCTCTAGGAAAAGGGGGGAAAAAAGTTTTGCTTTCCAGAGGGTGGAACCTTACGTGGAGGGAGGGAAGAGGGTGTGGGGTGAAAGTCTTTTCCAGGAGGAATAGCCTCACCTCCTTCAGAAACACCCTCCTTCCCTACAAGTTAAGATCGTTATCTGGACGAGCCAACTTACTCCAGATTTAGTATTAAAGAAGGAAAAAAAAAATGGGAATGGCCTGTTAACTTTTGACTTTCAAAAAAATCTGCTCTCTGCATCTGCCGTGGCTTTTTAATTCTCACTCCCTAACCAAAACCTAAACAAAGATTCAGGTTACATCTCTTTCTGCAGCAAGCTGAAGGGGAAGCGGAGGTCTGGGTGACTCGAATGTTTTAGTCATTCTCCAGAAACGAGCCGCTCTCCTGTCTAGCCCTGGACCGCGACGGCTCCCTGGCAGCCTGGAGGCTGAGTTATCTAGGGGTTCGCACTCCCTTTGCGAAAAGTTTTCTCATTAAGATAAAGAAGAACCATCTGAGTAGCACAAAAGCTTTGCTACTAGATTTGAAATCAAGGCTACAGGAAAGACAAAAAAAAGTATGTTTCTATTAGTATTGCTCTTTCATCTCATCCTAGGCAACACTGAAGCCCTGGAAGCCGCCAGCTTCTGCCTCAAATTTTGCCTACGGATTTAGGGGGGTGGTCCTCAGAATACTGGTAATTTTGATTAGAATTGGAGGGTGTGTTTGTTTAAATAACTTCTTTATGGTATAAATTTTACTTCGTTATGTAGTGTATAAAGAGGAATTTGATAAGACTAACAATTTTTATTTCTAATTTCCCCTTTTTAAGAAACGAAATAAAGCAAGCCTCTGAAACAGTAATTAATATGAGTATCTAAGTGTCTCTGTTTCTTAAAGGCCTTTAACAAAATCATATAACGTTGCTTCAATAAGATATATATTTATAATATTATCTCCTTGCCTTATTATCTAGAAGAGGAAGATAGAGGCGTTCCCACCCAGACTCGTCAGCAGCAAGCTAGAGGGAGGACAATGGGCAGAGATAGATAGACTTGCCGGTGATAAAATGAGCCCATGTAACAGCCTGGGACCGAGCATCGACTGCAAATTTAGTTTTTCCTCTATTACATTTTTCTCCCATAAACAGGAGGGTCTCTAGAGTATTTTCCTAACGCCAGCCATTGTTTTCTTTACGTGAAGCTGCGCCCACGTTAATATTAGCTATCCCCCTGCCGGTCCTCTCTGGGAGCTCTAGTTTAAATTTACGGAGGTGCGGGGGAAGGGGACAGAATTGAAGGCTTGGAGTGGACCAACTTCTCTAAAAGCTAACTTGTGCTTGGAGAACAGAAAAACTTGTGTTTTTCATCAAGTGCCAAAATTAGTGTTTTTGGAAAAAATCCACATAATGCATTTTCCATGAAATAGCATCAATCTCGAGATAGTTCTTCTAAATGGAGAGTCGTGCAGAATGTTGACTATCAGGCCCTGTATAGAGCAGAACTGAAAGTGGAATTAAAAATAAAGACCCAATTCGGCGATTTAGTTACAGTCTCTATTTGTTAAGGGTCTGCAAAATGAATCTGGGGTACTGTTTGGTTACCATCCGGGAGAATAAATCGCGCGGATCATTTGGAGATTCGGGGAGCGCTGGAGCTGTCTTGGGAAGTTAGGGCGGGGGCGCGGGCATTCATGCGGTCTTTCCACCCACCCTCGCCTAATCAGGCGGCTCTCAATCGGGTTTTCAAAATACTAATCTTGATCTAAGAGCTCCTATCTCTGCGTAAGTGGAGGAAATTATTCGTTTTCAGAGCTTCTAGGTTTGGACAAGAAGAATGATCGTCAGACATAAGAAGACCTAAAAGACTGGTCTGGCGTCCGCTTTACCCCTGGAGCCCGGCAGGACACCGACCTTTCCCACGGGGTAATTGCTCGCACCCAGCCTTGCTCAGTAGGCCTCCGGGTGGTGAATTTATTTCTGTGTCCCTGGCGGTATAGGCCTTCGATCGCGGGTAGTGCGTGGAGGAGGGAGGAGGCGAGTGATGCGCAGGTGTTTGCGGTGAATGTCAGGGCTGAGCGTCCCTCTCTCCAGGCCCACCTTGTGACCCCCAGTCGAGGGCGAGCGTACGGAGGGGTCTTTCCTGCACAGTGGCAACTCCTAGGAGCCCGCGTCACACCTCTTACCCAGGCTTCTCCGCGGCTCCGGCAAAGGAAGAGTTCGCCTGATGCTTCTCAGAGTACCCCTTTAGGTGCTTGTGCTAAAAGTCAGGACTCTTTTTGTCTGTGGAATGAGGTTTTTTAGCTCCGACTCCAACGGAGACCAATTTTGGTCGAATAAGGATAGGACCAATAAAACATCATCTTATGTGTCTGCAGGTGGGTAAGGAATCGCGGAGTTGGAGCGATTCCTATCTGCTAACCTGAAATTTCTGGAATGCTCACCTCTCCTTAAATGAAAACCGGGTACCTAAGCCCACCTAGGGGGCAACCAACACCCAACCAACAGCCCTGATGGATAGGGCTCTCTGCAAGGTTGGGAGAGAGAAAGC